GTTGATCAGGGAGAAGATGGCGGTGGAGATATATGAAGAGCTGANCCCTTCGCTCTGAAGTACATTGAGTGTCATGCTCTTGGGATGGACTTTCCCAAAGCGCTTTGTTCTAGAAACGGGAAGTTGATCAGGGAGAAGATGGCGGTGGAGATATATGAAGAGCTGAATTTGATCCATGAATGGGAAAACAAAGACAATGATAAGAACATGGGAACGTATGATCCATGAATTTGATGCTTTTGTGGACTATTGTCTTTGTACTTGAATCTTTTGTGTACTGTTGTATTTGAACTTGAACCTAGGATGAATCTTTTGTGACTTGTGTTTCGGATGATAATGTAAAGTAATGTTTGAACCTAGGATGAATCTTTTGTGTACTAATGTTTGACTTGTGTTTTCGGATGATAATAAATATTTTTGTGTACTAAGGTCTTCTGGACGAATGAAAGTAAGGTCGTCTGGACATAAATAACATCCAACTAAGTTGTCTTGAAGTCGTCTGTGAAGTCTTTTTTCTGGACGACTTTCAGACGACTTAAAGATAAAGACATAAATAACATCCAGAGAGTACTAAAGACATAAATAAGGACATAAATAACATCCATCTTCGTCTAAAGACATAAATAAAAACATAAATAACATCCATCTTCGTCTAAAGACATAAATAAAAACATAACATCCAACTAAGTCGTCTGTGAAGTCTTTTTTCTGGACGACTTAACTTTAAGTCGTCTGTGAAGTCCTGGACGACTGAATCGAAGGTCGTCTGGACGACTTATTTGAAGGTCGTCCAGAAAAAAGACTTCACAGACGACTTAAAGTTAAGTCGTCTGAAAGTCGTCTAGAAGAAAGACTTCACAGACGACTTAAAGTTAAGTCGTCTGAAAGTCGTCCAGAAAAAAGACTTCACAGACGACTTAAAGATAAAGACATAAATAACATCCAGAGAGTACTAAAGACATAAATAAAGACATAAATAAGGACATAAATAACATCCATCTTCGTCTAAAGACATAAATAAAAACATAAATAACATCCATCTTCGTCTAAAGACATAAATAAAAACATAACATCCAACTAAGTCGTGTGTAAGTCGTCTTTGAAGCTTTTTCCTGGACGACTTGCAGACGACTTAACTTTAAGTCGTCTGTGAAGTTTTTTTCTGGAAGACTGAATCGAAGGTCGTCTGGACGACTTACTCTAAGGCTATTCTTCAACCGGGTTCTTACATTGTGGACGCTTATGGCCCATTTCTTTGCATCCTGAGCACCTATAAACCCTGTGTTGCTTCCGGGGTTTGTGTCCTCTCATCCTGGATAGCTCCAACCATGATTGCCATCTTGATTTCTTTTGTCTCCCTGGACCACACTTTATTTTTGGAGGAAAGCATGTGCGTGCCTCAATTTGTTGTCCAACACAAGGATATATTTTCTCTGAATATCCTGCAAACAAAGTATGCTTTGAATATACCGGAGATACAAGTGTGGAGATATGCGAACCAGCTGCTGCTCCAGCTGCTATAGCATGACAACAAGGGATTTTCTCAACTTGATAGACACCACAATCACACTTGGAAAGCTCTAGATCAACATTGCAGTCTCTATGGCCACCTTTCACAAAGAACTTCCATCCATCAATTTGTTGGACTCTTAGAGTATCTGCGATCTCCTCGCGAACAGCAAGCAAGTGTTCAACACCTCGACTATGT